TCTCGGATGTGTAATTTCCATTTCCAAGTTCAACACCATCATTCTCACTGAAAAGGGTGGCAGAGCGCTCATTTTGGGTTGGGCAGGCATCTGTTCTTGGTCATCATCCCCCCTGCATCAATCCTCCTGCTCTGCCTCATCTTGAGCCCTATGCACAGTTATGCACGAGCTACAGATCTGAGCCAAAACTTTCCCTCCCCCTGTTCAGACTCAGGAGGAATTCAGGTTACAGCTGCTGCCTCCTTGTGCTAATGCCTGTTCTTGTAAAAGAGAAGCACAGTAACTAACACCTTATACCCTACAGCAGGATTTGCCTCCCTTGGGGCTCCTGGCTGTTTCTGTCCAACAGAGAGCTACCAGCAGCTTCTTATCTCTGATGACGGGATCTGCCCATTTCACCGAGTGCACATCCGCATCCCTGACCTCAGCTCATCGGTCGCAGACAGCCATGGAGCCCTCCAGCCTCTCGGCTTCCCTGTCACAGGGCAAGATCTACTTGGCCCCTTCTTGTTATTTTTGGCTGCGCTTTTGTCTCCGGGATCCTCTAACCTTTAGCAGTGAAAAAAAAAACCACAGAAGGCTGCTGCCCTGGCCTTTGGCTTGCTGCGAGCAACCAGGATGGGCAGAGGCTGAAAGCTAAAACCTCAGATTAACAGCGTGAGACTGGAATGAGCCAGGACTGATCAGGCAGCTCGGACCTGTCATTTCAAGGGCAGGAGGCCTGCAGGGAGAGAAGAGGTGGTCATCTGGTTTCAGATAAATGCCCACTTTGTGTTAATTAATTAGAAATCCAGTGTGGATAACAAGAGTGTTTAGATGATTGTTTAGCTAAGTATTCCTCTAAAGCCATGTATGACTATTGAGCAGCTGAGAAAGGGGATTGACTCTGCTCTATTCCTTATACACACACACACATAAGAGAAAGCAGAGTCTGGGAGTTGGGAAATGGGGGGTTTGCTCAGAGCTTAGTCTCAGGCCATGGCTCCATGTTCATTAATACCAGCCCAGGGCAGTACCAGATCGCACAGTAGCACTGATCTGAATCGAATCAGGCATCAGGACATGACAACAACTTCTTGCCAATCAGCCAGACCATATACGCAGTGCACATCTAGATCGATGACAGCAACACCTGAGTCACCATCAAGTTGCCTTGACGAAGCTACTCCTTCAAACCTTTGGGTTTTCTGTTTGGTTTTTTTATTTGGTCAAATGATTACATTCAGCACACATGCTTCTGTGGGGATACAAACAGTTGTGCTGGGATAATCATTGCAGGAAGATGGATAAGATGCTGCCTAAGCCAGTGCTGTTGTAGAGAGAATTGCTGTCAATTTTTGACCTCAAGCTCAGCATGTAGCTTTAGGGAAATTATTTAACTTTGCCACGTGACATTTTCCTTCTCCGTAGATGAGAAGTAATAGCAAAGACTCACTTTCCAAAAATCAAGGGAGGCAAAATGGATCAGTAGTTAGAAACTACTTTACCAATCTTGCCTGAAAAGGGGTGGGACTGATGTGCAGCTATCGGACAGAGACAGTAATATTCAAGTACTCAGCCAGTATGGAGGGTTGATGCACCACGTCTAACACATCCTGAATGAAATTGTCCCTAGCCCTAAGACCACTGCAAGGGCAAAACTTCACCCATTAGGCTATTTGATCAATATAAACAAAGACAAAGAGCTAAGCAATAAAAATGCAGAGGCCCATTCTATAAGTCTGGAGTTGTGAATAAGGAGACCAGTGAGTTAGAGGGGAGAATTTGCAACTTGGCTCTTAAGTGAAGGCTCCTCTCTCCACAGTGCAAACCAGAGTAGTAGCTAGGTGCTAAATAAATATTTAGCAAATGAGAAAGTCTCCATTTAATGAGAAATTATTTGGTGAAACAAGCTGGGGAAATGCTTTCAGTAGCACAGTAACAGAAGCCGGCGCTGCATTCTGCCCCACGGGATGCTGTGGTTCTACTTGTGTTGCGTAAGACAGGATCTCCAGCTGGGACAGACGCAGGAAATATAACTCATTACTGAAATGCAAGAGCCTTTCAGCATTAAACCACTGTTAGACCAGCCAGATTCACTCCCTAGTCACAGAATTTGCCTAGAAGCAGCTTTGGAAGATTCCTATCTTTCTTCATAACAGTGATGTTGCAGACAGGATGGTCTAAGGGTAGTGGTGATGCCAAGTTTGTAGGAAGAAGTAACTTTTTTTCTTTTATGTTCAAGGGCTGAGCTCCATTTCCACACCTTTATCTACATCATTAGGCTGTCAAGATGGCAGTTCCCTGCTTAAATGTTAATTACTATATCTCTCTTTTAAGATGTGTTTTCAAGGGGTTAGTGCCTCAATCTTCCTTGTAATTACATAGAGTGGTTAGTACCATTCCTCGGCTATATCCCAAGGTCCCTTGAGAGCTCATCCCTCCTGCAATTTCCAGTAGATGAGCACTCACAGAACTAGTCCTTCAGAGAGCTGCTGTCTTCAAGTGTTCAGCCAGATAATGAGCCGATTACTGTGCCTGCTCCTTCTGGCAATGGCGAACTCTATGCACAGACAGGCTATGCATCACCAATTGCTGCAGTTAATATTCCTCTCCTTCTCTCCAGCCTTTCAGCTTGGTGGGGCTGGTTCTACAGAGACCAGCCTGTCTTTGGGGCAAGAACTTCCATAAATTATTGACATAGCAAAAAGGGAGAACCAAACCTTGTCAAAGTCTGAATATAAAAGCCCAATAATAAAACAGTCACATCACCATTCTGGTGAAGTGAATATCATATGCTGAGCACAGTTTTGTCATTGCAGCTGTGACACACATGCATCAGGGATGGAGCGGCTGTGGTTTATTATGCCCCTACGGCTGAGAAGAAGGAATTACAACTTCCTCAAACACAAGGTGGTTTCTAAGTGAACAGCAATATTTGAGCTTGCAAATTAAAAATAATGCTGTGCTTTGGAAACTGCTAAATTTAAATGTCAGGTTCTTTCTTTGAAAGCTATAAGATAGCTCATTCCTCTCCAGGGAAAGTGAGTAGGAGCTTGTCTTTGCAGGGAAAATGTTTGGAATAGCAACTGCCCACCGGTTTCCCATGCAAACACTCATACTCTGTACTTCAAGACTGGATTAAGCAAAATTACATGAAGGCACTCACTGCAGAGGACAGCACCCTGTTCACAATAGCTCTCTTGCCTTAGTTCTGTCATCCCAGTACACAAACTGTAGCTTGCTTTGCAGTAGTAACCCCATAGAGAGGAACATTAACGTTTGCCCAAGATGTGAGGAAAAAAGTTTTTTTTTAAAGAAAATATTAAGTGACTGAGAAACAGCACTTTTCTGCAAGCTCTGCAGGTTCAAAACTGTCTTATATACCATGGATATCTGCCAGGCAAAAACCTCCTGGGCAAATCACCAACTGAGGCAGCTCCAGAGACTCAGCAAAAACCTCACAGCATAGCAGACAAATTGGCCCCAGCCTGTCTCTAATTCCTAAGAGCTACAATGCCTGGGTGAAGCATGCTCCAGATTTTTGTCTGCTGCTGGTCCACTAGAGGACAACCTAATAATGATGAACTCCTTTGGCTTACATAGTAAAAGGCCCATACTGAAAATGCTGCTGCCAAGTCTGGCTTACAACCCATGCTGGCATTGTTGCTGGTATGTGCGTTGGACCTCATTTTTAATGGTACAGATTACTTCTAGTCCTGACTGATACAGCCTTATGAAGCTCCAAAAAATGGCCCCTACAGCTGATGGCAGCCTTTGCAACTACAGAGAAAGAGACAGAAGCAAGGCAGATTTCCAGACAGACAGATGTAGTTTTTATAAAGCAAACCCAATCCCCTACACTGCACTCTACCACAGAGGAAAAGCTGCCTGTTGCTGCTGGATTTCTTGCAGACTTCTGACAAGATATCATGCTTTTTCTGTGCAGGAAATGCTCAGAGGTACAGATGGTACAGAATGATCCTTTCACCCTGGTAACATGTGATTTATCAAACCATAATGGAGGAACCAAATTCATGTATAAACAGTGAGCAGGAAGCACAACAAAATCATCAGCTGAAAGCCACAGAAAAGAGCAAGCTACTGCTCTGGCAAGGCACAGAAAAAGAGCAAAGCAGTTTCTCAAAGCCTAAGGGAGCTCTTGCCTAGTATTTTTAAGGCCAAAATAATAGAATACAAATAAAACCTGAGCTAGCAATAAAGCTAATTTCTGGAGCTAGGAAGCAAATGAGCTGTGGCAAGAAGTGGAACAGTAGAAAACAGCAGAGAATTAATTACAAGTGAAGTGTCTCAGGTCGGAATTGGAGTTAGAGGGGTCAGAGGGTCAAAGCAACGGAGTTTTCAGTGAGTAATTTGGTGCCTTGACATCCCCCAACCCCACTAGTGGTGATGTGCCTGTGACTCAGGGATGAGAAGTGCCTATGTCTCTGCAAGAGAGAAAGATACACACTGACGGCAGGAGATCAGAGCTACTTAAAATACAAAATCTGCTATTCCTCTCCCACTGACGATAGCAAGAGCTGGCTGGCTGTAACTGGGAGGACGCAGATCCTAGCCATCCCTTCGGGGGCGGCGTGTGATGCAAAGGGGCTCTCGCCGCAGCCCTACCGAGGCACTGCCCAACCTCCGGCCGGGAGTCGGCCCCCTCCCACTCGAGGAGGGAGGCTCCCCCCGAGCCCAGCTCGGCACCGGCATTCCCTCCCACCCGACGGCGGTGGAGGGATGCTCTCAGACGACGTGGCTGGCGGAGTCAGCTGCTCTTTGATGTCAGTACCTGCTCCGGGTTCGGCGGGGCGGGAGTGGGCGGGCGGAGCGCAGCGTAGCCGAGCCGCAGACCCTGCTCGCCAGCTGCAGGAGGGCTTCTGCCTCCCACACTCCGCCCGGCCCCGGTCCGCCCCGACGGGGAAAGGGCGGGGGCGGGGGGGCACCCCATCGCCGCCGCGGATCCACTGAGGAAACTTGCCCAACTTTCTCCATCCCTGGCACCGGTACTCGCTGCCATGGCCCCCGCCAACTCCTCCCGCAACTTCTCCGCGCCGGAGGCTCGAAACGGCTCAGGTGAGCAGGGGCTGCGCGGGGCGGAGGCGCACCTCCCCGGCGAGGCGGCCGCGCTGGGGCCGGCGCGGGGGCGCGAAGAGCTTTGCAGGGGAAAGTCCTCCTGCACATCCCTCTTGTGCTGCTCTGCAGCGTTGACCCCGGCGCTGCTCGTGCTCAGCGGGGCCGGCCGGCACCCCATAAAGTGGGAGAGGCTGAACGCAGGGATACGGTCGTAGTCGACCCACCTCCCCGCCAGCACCCCACCGCCGGGGCTGCCGGCAGGGGCGAGCCGCCTTCAGCACCCGAGGGCGGACAGCTCCGGGCCCCGAGGGGGGGGCACACGGCGGGCGGGACGGGGCTGACCCCCTCCCTGGGGCTGGAGAGCGGCCCGGGTCCCAGCCCTCCCTCCCGGGACACCACAGCACCAAAATAAAGCTCGACCACCACCGTTGGCCCTAGTGGCTTGAAGCAATTCACTACCTTTTGGCTGTGAGACAGTAATAACTCCAGCAGCCCGTTGGTCTTAGTTGCGGAGATGAACCAGCGCAGCTAGACAGGGAGGGGAACAAGGCCTAGAGAACATGAGACATCTCTGGAGAGGGAAGCAGAGATCCTCATCAGTCTCCTGTTTTCTCTGTGCTACCACTGTTCCCAAATCAATAGTTTAGGGTTGTTCATGACAATTCTCAGTGGTGCAAGTTGGTGAAACTCTTCAACAGAAGGGGTTTTATGTGTGGTCTTTGACTCCCTGTGCACCAGCTTGTCCTTTATAAACTGAAAGTGTGCCTTAGGTGCTTCCTTCTGAAATGCAGTAAAGATGTAGTTTCTTATGTATCTGGGCATGGCTGAGGACAACAATCACCTTAGAGAAAAAAAATTTAGGCCAGTCCTCATTCAGTTCACATAGTGCCATCCCCTTTGGGACTTTTTAAAAGAGTAACAGGGCAGCCACAGATCTACAAGCAAGGAGAAATCAATGCCTGAAGTAGCTGTTTCAGTAAACAAAGTACAGCCAAGCCACTTGTATGTGCACAGCAGCAGCCCTGAAAATTCAGGTTCAGTGATATCTCAAGATGAAAGAGGCTTTAGAAAAAAAAGATAACTTTTGAGTATTTGATAGTCATGCACTTCTGACTCCAGCCCATAATACAGACAGGAGCTATAGCTTCACACTAGCTTTCAGCTAAAACCACTTGAAAGTCCTGCTTGTACAAATACCAATAGCAGGAAAGATGCTACAGCTCTACAGACTACCTTTCACACAAAGCCTTCAGGCTTGCACACATTCTGCTTTAAGATCAGCTGAGCTTGTTCCAAACATTACAGGATCAGCATGAGCACTGTATTGATTATACTGCAGGAAAAGGACATTTTGTCCCAATTTCCAGCTAACCAAGTGGCCTTATGTTTCACTCATACAATCCATGCCTACCACATTCATAACAAAGTTTGCGACTAAAAGAGAGGAGAGCAGAACTCATAACAGCTATGTGCAGAACAGCAGGACCAGAGTAATCTTCCAATTTCTAGTCTGCCATGTTCAAGTATTAAGGAGCTGTTTGGATGTTCAGGGGATGCACAGGCTGGATGCTGAAGAGCAAGTATCAGGTCTCAATAGGGTGCTGATGACAGTATGTTACCTGTCAGAAGCCATGTAACATGGGGCATTTTTTTGCATTGAGCAGCCAGGAAGAACAGGGACCATTCAAACCCCCACAAGTGGCCCAGACCAGGCTTTTTTGTCTTGCCAACCAAGCCTGGCTTTCACCTTCAGGCCCCTGCCAGTTCTCCTGTGCCTCACTGGCTGCTTTCCGTCATCTGCATAGAAGCTTTCTGCTAAAATGGTGCAGCAACCACTCTACTGGATTCTGACCTTGGCCTTGCTTATGCCTAAGCTGGCTGCTTTCTAGTGCTAGAACTGAGGCAGTGGCTGCTCATCATGTCCCACTTCTGAGAGCACTGAAATATTACATACCGTTGATACGGCACACACTTTTCCAGCCACAGGCCACCAGTGTAGCTTCAGTTATCTTGCCAATTCAAGCTTCTCTGTCGCACCAAAGTAAATCTGGAGAAGTTAGTACTCAAGAATTCTAGAGGTCAAAATCAGCAAATATGACCTCAGCAAACAGACACCGCTTCGGCAGAGACAACACCTTATGAGAATCTGTTATTTCACTTAATCTCATTTTCAAGATTTCCCTAGGTTCTGTTGGAGGAGACTTCCCCACTTCTCCTACAGGTGTAGGCTGCTAAGGAGATGGAATAGTACAGTGACTGAAAGCATTTCCAATTAACACCACACTGATTCATCTGTAATTCAATGAAAGACACATGCAGTCTAAGCTTAGGGGCTGTCATGCATGTCCTTGTAAAAGCCACACAAATAACTCACACAAAGCGTTCCCCTAGAAAAAAACCTCAACAGGTCCCATAGGAGAGGAGTAATGAGATTTGCCTCAGCTGAGGGTGATTTCAGGCTCCATCACACACTGCACATGGCAGTCCTGCAGAACAGAGAGCACCACGATCAATGCCTTACACACCACCTTCTGTGCCCAAGAGCAGAAATCCCTGTTAATTGGGACTGAGGGCTTGTGGCTTCACAATGTGATTTTAAACCTGGGTTAGGGACAAGGCAAATGTGAATTAGATTATGTTTGGGCCTCCTAGCCCAAAGAGCAACAGTCAAGCATCAGTGCTGATAAGCTAAATGTTATCAGGCAAGAATTTTGCCTTGGAAATCCACCTGCATCCAGAACTCAGAGACAGCAGCTTTAAGCCATGTTTTTCTCCTTGTAGAGCTAGGGCACTCCCTGTTGAAGGGCCACTCTGAAACATACTCCCCAAATCCCTGTCTGGCCACACACCTGGAATTCTTTCAAGAAAAGAAACTAGAGAAAGGGAGAGGGGCAGGGAAGGAAGATGGAATGGAGTGCATGCTCTGGCCCAACCCTGACAACAGAGCTATCTCATACTGTACAACAGATAAACCGCCCAACAGACAAGCTAAAGCTTTCTGACAACAGCTTGAGCATTGGCTATATCCAGATTTTGGCACTCATACAGAGGCTTTACTTCTCCAGTGTGCAAAGCACCAGCTGCCTCACCCACTCCCCTCAGAAATGGCTGGACACTCAGCACTCCCTGGAAGAGTGAAGTGCAGAGGCACACCAGCTTGATGTTAGTCTCCCAAAAAAGAGCCAGGGAATTTCAGAGCAGGACAGAAGTACATCAGGAGAGCTAAGGAAAGATGCCTACACATGGCCAGATTTGGGTGTTCTGCTGCATGTACTGAGTGGCAGAGAAGGAAGTGTCAAATCCCCAGCTAAGACCCTCCATACTGCAGAGGATCTTAAGCGCTGTTCCAAGCTATATCTTTGAGGGAGATCTAGCTGCAGGACTGGGCAAGCATACAGAGATGTAAAGAGGTTGCCTCTGGGTTGTGCTCACTGCTTTGGTTTGTCTTGACAGTAGCAGAGAAGCCAGCACCATACACCAATGTGATAATGCCCAGTCTCTTCAGCATCATCTGTTTCCTGGGCATTGTGGGGAACCTCATTGTCATCTACACTATTGTTAAGAAGAAGAAGCTGAGATGCAAACAGACTGTGCCTGACATTTTCATCTTCAACCTCTCCATTGTGGACCTCCTCTTCCTCTTGGGCATGCCATTCCTCATCCATCAGCTCCTAGGCAATGGCTCATGGTACTTTGGAGCTCCCCTGTGCACCATTATCACTGCCCTGGACACAAACAGCCAGATCACCAGCACCAACATCCTTACAGTGATGACATTGGACCGTTACCTAGCAACTGTCTACCCTCTAAAATCTACCTATGTCCGGACCCCATGTGTTGCAGCTCTAGTTATCTGCTTGGTGTGGCTCCTCTCCTTCCTGACCATCATTCCCGTATGGATGTATGCAGGTCTTATGCCTCTGGAAGATGGGACCGTCCGCTGTGCTCTCTTGCTTCCCAACCCAGAGACTGATATCTACTGGTTCACCCTCTATCAGTTCATGCTAGCATTTGCTGTGCCATTGATTGTGATCTGCGTGGTCTATTTTAAGATCCTCCAGCACATGGCCACCACTGTGGTCCCATTGCCCCAAAGGAGCCTCCGGGTACGTACCAAGAAAGTCACCCGTATGGCAGTTGCCATCTGCTCTGCCTTTTTTATTTGTTGGGCTCCCTTCTACATCCTCCAGCTGGTTCACCTCGGCATTGACACACCATCCATGGCCTTCTTTTATGCCTACAACTTTGCCATTAGCTTGGGCTATGCCAACAGCTGCCTCAACCCCTTCCTCTACATTGCTCTCAGCGAGACCTTCAAGCGCCAGTTCTTAGTGGCCATCCGCCCTGCAAAAGAGCCATGTCGCAACAGCAGCTCTGTCAACAACAACAGCATGACAGAGGCTAGTGTATGTCTGAAACTGGCACCAGAATCCACCCAGCAGACTCAGTTTCTGGAGGACTTTTCCCCACGTTCACTGCCTGTGACTGTGGCTGTTCACTAGGGTGCTCGGAAGTGACCACAGCAGAAAGCCTTCAGATCTATAAGTTGGTAGAGAAGCAGCAGGTTCAAGCAATTCCTGGTGAAGCATATGAACTACAAGCTTCCACCTCCAAGAGTCCAGGCGCCTCCCTTTTTCATTGCAGGGCTCTGCTCCTACACAGCCCTTGGCCTATGAGATGCTGCATACTGCTGCTTCTTTCCACTCCTGCATGGGAGGACTATATCACACAAGACACTGGGCCCCCAAAGAGGACGAATGGAAAAGAGAGGCAGGACAGAAAGAGGATTTCAAGGGGGAATGTTCACCTTGGAAGAGTAAAACCTTTATCAACAACACTGCCCAATGATTCCTCGTCTCTCGGCCTGACCGGGGTTCCTAAGCAGCATGTCAATATAGAGCTTCTTCATTCAAAACTTGAACCTTTGAAACACAAGGTCATATATTTATTCTTGATAAGAAATCTGACCTGGAAACTTTGACATCTGTGCTCATATCCTAGAAGCAAACAGCAGAGAGAGATCTTGGGGCCAGAAGTCTCACCTAGGTCTGTCACTTGGCCTTTTGGTCCAGCCCCGTCTGCCTCCAGTGGGCTGTATTGTTTGGCAACAAAGACATTTTCAAGAACTGGCTAATTTTGATGCTAATCCTAAATATTTCAAGCAAAATCAGGCAGATAACAATTGCACTGCTTCAAGGGACTGCAAACAATTCTCAGAACTACCGCTGCTAACACCAGCTTTGTGGCTTTTCATGCCAATGAGCAGATTTTCACACTGCTCGTTCCTCATGCTGTCTTGTGCCTCACAGTCTGCATGGCCATCGGGGAACCCCAGGCAGAGGGTTTTAAACATGACTGAAAAACACAATGTGCAGAGATCTGTGGAGCAAAAAGCTGTAAAAAGGCAGCTCAGAGGAAGCAGAGTTGCTTATGCAGCTTCCTCAAAATAACAAATGCTTTACAGAGTTAAAAGAGGAAAAATTAAATGTCTGTGTTTTGTGTATGTGTCTTTAACAGTCAGAGGCTAGCAAATAACTTTGCTTATTACAAAGACTAGAGAAAAGACAGCACACATCAGCTAAATGTGGGGGATTACACTGATAGCCTGCACAGGGTTCCCAGGGGACCGTGCAGGCATTGTTCAACACTTTGTCAAACATGGAAGAACTGGTTACTGTAGATGAATTTAGTAAAAAGAAGAATTAAAAACATCATACAGCACAAAAGAATTTGTTACCATGCTTACGGTTTCATGCCACCAGCCACCCACAATATACCCAGAACAGAAATTCACCCCTACATACCAAAACTGTGTCACCTGCACAAGACTTTCTAAGCCACACGCACACTTATGGGTCCGCCTAATGCACACATGCCACACGTACAGGTGTTTAAGTACAGCCAATAATTCAGTCTACACCCTGTAGAGAACACAGCCATTCACTTGCATCTGGTGATCAAAGCAGGCTGGTGTGCAACACCAGCACTTTTGACATCATCAGGTGCATCATGTTGCTTTTTAAGCCATTGAACAAACCTCTTAACAGGGCCTCTCTGTATTTTCATTCCATGCTCTGTCAACCTGCACCCACCGCAGCAGCACATCCACACAACTGTATGGTGTCTTGCAAGTTTTTCACCCCCGCTTCCCTGAGCAATAAACCCAGCCAGACACATAGAGAGCTTTCAAGCTTTATGACTTTAAAATCTTTGCCCCATTTTAACTGCCAGGAATTTTCACCTGCTGGTTTTCATGGATCTGCTTTGCTCTTTGGTCAGTACTCTCCCCAGAGGGCGCAGGAGCGAAGGTCAAGGAAGATGCGTGCTGTGCCAAGCCAGACTCGCTCTCAGGACAAGGGAAGCTATTGTGTTACCTTTCTCCCATAAGGAAGTTAAGGTGAGAACTGGCACACTTATCTGTGAAAGGAGGTGGTAGTGGTTGGGTGGGTTTTTTTCCTCCTTTAATAATAGCAATGAGGAAAGTATGAGAGAAGCGAAAACAGACTGAATTGTCAAGGCTCTCAGAAAGCAGCACGCTGAAGATACTATCTTGCTTACGCAGTAAAGGGGTGTTTATGGTTGAACTAGTCTGTTCCTGCCTGAAGTGAGTCAGTCTGACCCAGTGTGGCCAAGCCACGTGCTAAAAACCATGGCGGCACTGTGGGCTAACCAAGAGAGACCAGCACCACCTAGTGCAACACTTGAAAGGGTCTTTGTGGAGTAGACCTTCTCCAGATCTCATCACACTGAAGTCAAGGCACAGTACACAGGCACCTTCCCAGGCTGAAGTCCTTTTAGACCTCATCTATGTGAAGTGAAAGCCATGCTAGAGAGACCTGGTCCCAACACCAAGGAGAAGGCTTCCCATTTAGCCGGTGTCCCAGCAGAGGCACCTGCCCCTTCCCACTACCCTGACAAAGGCTCATAGTTGTCATTCCCTCATGCCTGTCCCCAAGGGGTTTCCTAGTCCAGATGCCTAAATACTGGCTGTGGGGTCCCTTCCTTTCCACGTACATCCATAAAAGCTGTGGCAAATGCACCTTAGGAAGACAAGGATGTAGATACCTGTGGATGCACTGGGAGGCTGGGAAGAGAGGTACAGACAAGCAAGCAAAGCAGCAAAGAACACAGACAGCACATAGCTTTTTGCCATCTTCCCTAAATCACCCCAAAGCACAGGGGAAGATGAACAAGAACCTCTCCTTTGAAGACAAACCCTTCGATCAAAGGCCTTCAGAGGTGTCCCCCTACCTAGGGGGTAAGGCAAGGCCTTCCAGTATCTGAACAGTCTCTGTGCACCTTGGTGTGACCTACTCCAAACACCCTACCCCTTTTGCCTATTTTTCAGAGCTGGCTTTGTTAAGTCAGAGAGTCTGTTGACGTTCCAGTTTGCATTCAGCTTTACCACTTTGTCTGTTCTGCTCTTTGTATTTATTATGTGATCCCCCCATCTCAGTGCCTCGGTTACTAATGGCAGAGCTTGAATAAAAGGCATCACTAAGTAGAAAAGGACACAGCTACTTGTGCAGAGATAGGCAGCCTGAAGTGCTGTGAGGTCCATCTGAAAGGCATGGTGAGAAGGGCACAGAGATATTGCAGCATGTTTCCCTGCAGTCCTGCCTCCCATACACAGCCAAGAGAGTGTCTCTCTCGCTTGAGAGAAACTAAGGGAAATCCAGCTAAATAACTAGGGCGAAAAGCACCCCCTAAACCAAAGGGTGATAGAAAGAAACTATTCAATCTAGTTGTTCAGATCAACAGCCTGCTACACTGGATGAGACAAATTTCCTCAGCTCTTTTTGCCAGCACTTCTGTGTGTTTGCGAGCTGCATCGTCAGACAGCAGGAAGACAGATGGGTTCACTTTCCACTCCCTCTTCTTCCTTCTCCTTGTCCTTAGAGGTGCAACTGAAGCCACATGTCACAGCTCTGCTCTTGAGAAACTCCCACAAGAGGCAGATGGCCCAGTTACTTCTACTCCTACTTTCCCAGCTAGTGACAGAGCCCTCCTTGGCTGGTTGCTGCAGGATTCAGTCCCCAGCTCACCCTTCTCAGTTACCTCTTTTCCACTGTATATCCCTGTGTCCACACCAGCCGGTGCCATATACTCCTGCCTTCCCCACAGCCACAGCTCTGCCAAGTCAGCACTAAGGACAAGCTGGAGCTGAGGTCCCCAAAGCCCTGCTAGGCAGCAGGCTGGTGACATCCTTCTCCAGACACCTTTCTCCACCTGAAGTCTCTGCACAGTTAAACCTGCTCAGGAGCAAACTGCAGCCGTGATGGAGAGCGAGCGCAATGCTGGCGGCTGCTGGGTGAGGAGGAGGGAAAGGTGGGGTGACTCACTGGCCCCTGGGACACAGCCAGAACCTGACAAATCATGTTTCATCAATCCTCCTGGGCTGCTAATTGGATGCATTTCATTCAACAGACTCACTGGTGGGAGAGGAGCCACGTGGCAGGTACGGATACATTCCCAGCCCACTCGCATTAGTCCTCCTGCCAGACACAGGGACCATACAGCAATGCCCTTTCTCGCTCACCTTCCATTAGCAAAGCAACACAGCTAAACCCTCGCATTCCCCTGCAGCTCTTCCACTTGCTCAATCACTGCTGTGGGCCTGGGGAGGGGACAGCACACAGGAAAGTCTCACCAGCAGTAGAGAAATAAAGGGGGAGAGATTTCTCATCTACAGCCCCCATCCATCTCCCACTGGAGGGCTCCTCCAGCTGACGGGGGCCCTTCAGTGCCTCCAAGCAACAGAAGACGTATTTTGAAGCTGTATTTACAGGACAGCATTTGAACAGGGAACTAACTCACTGCACCACTGGAGGGAAAACCTTTGTTAAGAGACATAGACCCCAAGTGCAGGAGGGCACAAGAGATGATCCCTGCTTTTAGAGCCTTCGTGCCCTACCCATATCCCATTTGGGAAACAGCTCCCACAATCGTATCGGACCCAATAGTTGTTTCTCTCACAGCACCTTTCTACCAGTTCGGTTGTGTTAGCTATGGAAATAGTCACTCCTGATCTCCCAGTCTGGCTCATGGGAGAACAGTGGCACTGGCTTCTTCTGAAAGGTAGAGCTGGGCTTCAACAACTGCAAAGTTACACTTGAGAATTGGCTTATTTCAGTATGAGATGTGATGGTGCACAGAGTGGTGCTTTCATAAGCACTTCTGGATGTGTTGAGGACAAGCACATTAGAAAAGCCTCCAGGATTGTCAGCTCAGTACCTTTCACCACCTCTAAATGCTGCAGCCTGATGCTGGAGTAATGTCAATGCTCCCTGGGGTCAAACCTTTGTATGAAGGATTCCTTCTCCAAAGCAAAGGCAGACTACATACACCAGCATTGCCCTCCTCAAGCACAGAAGCTGAGCAACACAAGCACCACTGAAGGCTCAAGGCCCAGTCTTGCACGTCCATACAGGGTTAGTCCCCTGGAAATGAGAGCCAAGTTCTGCTGCCTGTCACACCAGGGTGAGTTTGAGTTTACACCACA